CAGGTCCATCGCTGATCATCAGTGACCCGAGATTCCCGCAGCAAATAACATTTCGCGCTGCGAAACGCGAAAGTCGCTTTCAGTCCTAGTGAACCGCACCCTATTTTTGTAGGGTGAGCGAAGGGCTTGAAGAGGGTGGGAGAAATTTTTGATTTACCCAATATTATTTTTGTAGAGTTAGCGAAGAGCTTAAAGAAGGTGGGAGAAATTTTCGATTTACCCAATTTTTTCTGGAGTAGATAGAGCGACAGTTAGGCTTAGCTCAGGCGGGATTAAGCAACCAGAACGCCGTACCTAATCTCTCCGTCATTTGTAGTGAAGAAATTCATGATCCAAAACCAAGTGAATTTTCGAATTGAAATCGAAAACATGTGCTACCTGATTCTGTGGACACTCCAGCACCAGTCAAAACCAGCAGACGATCTATGGAAGCCACTTGGTCTATGAACTTCTTGATTTGATCCGGACTTGGCGGCCGAAAAGATGGTACGAATCGGGACAACGCTGAAGACATTACGTGACACCACGTGAGATTAAGCAACCGCAGGCACCAAGCATGCCGTGAAATATGACAACATTGGGCATATTGCGTACGACGCATGCTAACGAACGCCCTTCCTAGAAATTTTCTGCATGTGTGGTGTGGGTTAATTTTTATCCAAGCTTATCAGAGTAATTTAGCTTTAAAATCGATTCTTAGGTTATGTACTATAGCCAGCTGGAAATGGAGATTGGAAGAGCCGCTCCTTGGGCGTGACGACCAAGACTGTACCAACGACCAAGATTTCAATTTCAGTGACAAAACAACCTCGAAACTGGGCCAAAAAGTGGGTAAAGGTGTGCATTGGTAAGTCACATCGAATTAGGGAGACCCACCCCGGTGGGCGGGGCGTTCTCCAAAAAAGCAGTGCTTTATGAAAAATTTCATAACTCGGTTGGGAGAAAGCCTACAGAGCAGAAAACAAATTGGTGTAGGGGAGCAATGTCTAAGGTGTTCCCAGCATACATGACGTGGGCGGAGGCCCGCCCACAATGGGCGGAGCGCGCTCTGAAGTGTACAGCATTTTCTACAAGTCCTCATAATTCGGGCCGGAGAAGTCTTAGTGAGCCGGAAAAAGGTGGATAGAGGTGGGTGGAGGAGTGGAGGCCAACTGTCAATGGTGGGCGGGGCATGACCAAAGTGGGCGGAGTTTGCGACGAAAATTCATAACTCGGCTCCAAGAAGTCCCGGAGGCCGGAAAAAGGTGGATAGAGGTGGGTGGAGGAGTGGAGGCCAGCTGTCATCGGTGGGCGGGGCATGACCAAAGTGGGCGGAGTTTGCGACGAAAATTCATAACTCGGTTCCAAGAAGTCCCGGAGACCGGGAAAAAGGTGGATAGAGGTGGGTGAAGGAGTGGAGCCCAACTGCTGTTGGTGGGCGGGGCATTTCCAAAGTGGGCGGAGTTCTCCACAAAACTTTGTGACTCGGCTGCAAGAAGTCCTGGAGACCGGGAGAGAAGTGGGCGAAGGAAAGGAAGTGAATTTCTAATGGTGTGCGGAGGATACACCAAAAGAGCAGGATTCGCCGCCAAAATTATAAATCGGCTCAGGATAGTTCAAAGACTGGGAGATAGGTGGGACATGCAAAGAAATAGGCGGAGTTTACCACGAGGTTCATAAATCGGTCCGGAGGCAGTCCGAGGCCGGGAAAAACGGACAATTGGTTGACGATTACGGACAATTGGTGGAGGAAGGAGGGAAGCTCAAAAGCCATCGGTGGATGAAGCGGATAGAATTCAGCTTGAAAGTCAAATATTCGAAGTGTATTGGGCCAAATTCGAAAATTTACGCCGCACCATCCTATATCGCCGCAGAACTGTGCTGTGCGCGCAACGCGTGCGGCGCCAACTGGTTATAATG